TGAGACCGTCTCTCTTCTCATTTTCTTTTCTTTCCACTTTTTCGTCTCTTTTATTTATTTTCGTGTTGGACTCGTTCTGCTCACATGAAGTGTTTCCAGAGCCGGAACTTTACTTTATGTGGTTTGTAATACATCGGGGAAGTATTATAACTCCTATCAGGTTACACTGCCGCCGGAGGGATTCCCTGACTTCCTGTCTGGTACAAGGTTGACCCCAGAACAGGAAGTGAGGGGAATCTCTCTTATAGAGCCCAAAATATCAGTAAAAGCCGACCGAGGTTCTAACCCTCCCCCATTCTATCCAAAACTAAAATAGAAGTTTCAGATAGAAGACTGAAGGGGAGGACGGAGGTCAGATAGAAGACTGAAGGGCAGGACGGAGGTCAGATAGAAGACTGAAGGGGAAGAAGCAGGGAGCAGAGATTTTGGGAGCCATTTAGGTAATTGAGCTCTGCTGCTATTTACATGAGGCATTACATGCAGAGAGATGTAGGCAAGTGGCAGCAGTCTGGCCTGGGGGCACTGTAAAAGCCCTGCTTATGTATAACACTCGGGGGAGGGGCAGATTCGGAGCACTTTGTGTCTTTAGCAGAATTATAGAATCACCAGAATTCAGTTCTCTGACTTTGAATTGTCCGGGATTCCTCCTCAGGCTGGAGAAGCTTCGCCACCAGTTGATGCCGATGTACAACTTTGACCCGGCGGAGGAGCAGGAAGACCTGGAACAGGAGCTGCTGGAGCCGAACCGAGACCTCCAGCCTCAAGGAAAGGTACAGATGTCCCCACTGCAAGGGCTATGAATTAATGATGACCGGAGTTCTTGTTTAATATATTCTTTTCCCCGATAGAAAGTACGTTATAATAATACATTGTGGCCACTAGATGGAGCTGAGGAGCGAAGGGTGCTCACTTCCGGGTGCTCATCAGCTCCGCCTAGTGGCCACAATGTGTTTTTACATGACAATATATTCAACTAGAAAAATACACTATATCGCCAGAGGTATTGGGACGCCTTTACACGCACATGAACTCTAATGACATCCCAGTCTTAGTCCGTAGGGTTCAGTATTGGGTTGGCTCCGCCCCTTTGCCGCTTAAACAGCTCCGCCTTTTTCTGGGAAGGCGTCCACAAGGTTTAGGGGTGTGTCTATGGGAATGTTGGACCATTTGTGAGGTCAGGTACTGATGTTGGGGGAGGGGCTCGCAGTCTCCGCCTCTAATTCATCCCAAAGGTGTTCTATGGGGTTGAGTTCAGGACTCTGTGCGGCCAGTCACGTTCCTCCCTCCCCACCGCTGACCCCCCGCATGCGCTGACCCCGCTCTGTCATGTGACGCGGCCGACCACTTCCTGGCTGAGTTGCTGTTGTTCCCGGTTGCTTCCACTTTGTTATAATCCCAGTAACAGGCGACCGCGGCGGAATATTTAGTAGCCGGGAAATGTCACGGAGCACCCGAATCCAATGATTTGGAGGGGGAGGGGCCCGATACGTTTGGTAATATAGTGTACGTTAAGAATGTTTGCATTTGGCATCATTCACCAAAATACACCAAGACGAATATTCACAGCGCACGGGGCCCTAAAATGATGATTCCTTTTCGTCAATGTTTATAAACAATGTTACTTTGGCTGTGCCGACACACAGTGCACAGACTTCGCCCGCCGTTGTCTCCATCAGTAAGTCTGGAGCAATGGCGTACGGCACACAGTGAAGCGAGTGCACGCTGAGAGTATCGGGCTGAATGAGGTTGGATTAGATCAGCAGCACTATGGGAGGGGCAAGAGTTACCCCAGGGGCGGGGCTTCTGTACCTCCTGTTTCTCCATCCCAGAAGGCTGCTGAATAGAAAGATGATAGAACTGATGATATAAAGATGAAAGCGATGATCATTACTAGGGATGCACCGATACCGGTATTTTGGTACCGAGTACGAGTACTGATACATTTTTTTCGGTACACGCCGATACCAATTATCGAGTACCGGAAGTCCCATTCAGGAAGCCAGGTGGCGTGTAATGACTCTCCACCCGGCTTCCCCATTAACAAGAAAGTCCCCTCTTACCTTAGTATGTATTGTTTATGATAGACAGTATATAGAAATGTCCTCCATTTTGGGTTCGCTTGCAACTTTAAATATTTTCCTGTTAAATAAATAGTTGATGTGCATTATGGGTAAAGTCCGTCAGTGAGACTCCGCCCACTATATTCCCTTCCTTGCGTCACTCCCATGACCCGTGTCTGCTCTGTGTTGGCATTTCAGGTCCTGTTGACGAGCCTGTGCCCGCTGCAGAGACCCACCCGGCTGGTCTTCACCGACGTTGCCAATTCCATCAATGCCTGAGGAGGTTTCCTGCGCGGCGACACCGGAGACCGCCGAACACTGTGACTCTGCGTGCTGTTCGTGCCGTCATGCCCCTGAAGATAAACGCAGAGGGAGGGGCAAGAGTGACCCCCGGGGGGGCGGGGCTCCTGTTTCTTCATCTCGGAAGGCTGCTGAATTGACCCCGAGGCCGCTTGAGTCCCAGATCCCCGTGAGTACCCCCGGGGACGCAGCCGCACCTACCCCGCGCACTGGAAGAGGACTATGTACGGCCCCACATAGCGGCTTCCTGAGATGAGTCTGGACTGCGCGTCATCTGAGATATGGAGCGATGGTCGGTCCTGCGACGTTCACTCCGCAGTGCGGTGACAGTGTACTCTGGCTGTACGCGGGGCATGCCTGCACTGTCTGTACTATTATTATACAGGATTTATGTATGGCGCCAACAGTGTGCGCTGCGCTGTACAATATGAGGAAGACATTACAATCGCAATACAAGACAAGATGGTAAGGAGGGCCCTGCCCCCGAGAGCTTACAATCTAAAAGATGGTGTGTTCCAACTGTATGGTATCACTGTAGCAGTGTATTCTGACTGTACACTATCCTCATCACTCGGCACCGTGCCTGCACTGTATGTCGGGGTCCTTCAGCACCCAAGAGGAAAGGCCAACATGGCTGCCTTAGGACCCGTGAACTGCTTCAAAAAAAAATGGCGTATGCTGACTGTACACTGTCTCACCATGCTGAGTCTGTAGCTGTGCCCATCGCACAATGCCGTGTACTTCGCTGTACAGTCGCACACATACACTGACAGAGAGCCAACACGAGAAATTGTTTGCAGTGGGTTCATGTGGTACCTCCGAAGAGTACCTGTCAGTGCTCTTACCTGGTACCCAGGAACCGTAAGAGGACCCAGGTGCTCTGAGGGAAACTGGGAGGGAACTTGGGAACTAAAGGGACACAGGAGCTGGAAGGTGACACAGGAGCTGGGAAGGGACACAGGAGCTGGGAGGGGACACAGGAGCTGGGAGGGGACACGGGAGCTGGAAGGGGACACGGGAGCAGGGAGGGGACACGGGAGCTGGAAGGGGACACGGGAGCAGGGAGGGGACACGGGAGCTGGAAGGGGACACGGGAGCAGGGAGGGGACACGGGAGCTGGAAGGGGACACGGGAGCAGGGAGGGGACACGGGAGCTGGAAGGGGACACGGGAGCAGGGAGGGGACACGGGAGCTGGAAGGGGACACGGGAGCAGGGAGGGGACACGGGAGCTGGAAGGGGACACGGGAGCAGGGAGGGGACACGGGAGCTGGAAGGGGACACGGGAGCAGGGAGGGGACACGGGAGCTGGAAGGGGACACGGGAGCAGGGAGGGGACACGGGAGCTGGAAGGGGACACGGGAGCAGGGAGGGGACACGGGAGCTGGAAGGGGACACGGGAGCAGGGAGGGGACACGGGAGCTGGAAGGGGACACGGGAGCAGGGAGGGGACACGGGAGCTGGAAGGGGACACGGGAGCAGGGAGGGGACACGGGAGCTGGAAGGGGACACGGGAGCAGGGAGGGGACACGGGAGCTGGAAGGGGACACGGGAGCAGGGAGGGGACACGGGAGCTGGAAGGGGACACGGGAGCAGGGAGGGGACACGGGAGCTGGAAGGGGACACGGGAGCAGGGAGGGGACACGGGAGCTGGAAGGGGACACGGGAGCAGGGAGGGGACACGGGAGCTGGAAGGGGACACGGGAGCAGGGAGGGGACACGGGAGCTGGAAGGGGACACGGGAGCAGGGAGGGGACACGGGAGCTGGAAGGGGACACGGGAGCAGGGAGGGGACACGGGAGCTGGAAGGGGACACGGGAGCAGGGAGGGGACACGGGAGCTGGAAGGGGACACGGGAGCAGGGAGGGGACACGGGAGCTGGAAGGGGACACGGGAGCAGGGAGGGGACACGGGAGCTGGAAGGGGACACGGGAGCAGGGAGGGGACACGGGAGCTGGAAGGGGACACGGGAGCAGGGAGGGGACACGGGAGCTGGAAGGGGACACGGGAGCAGGGAGGGGACACGGGAGCTGGAAGGGGACACGGGAGCAGGGAGGGGACACGGGAGCTGGAAGGGGACACGGGAGCAGGGAGGGGACACGGGAGCTGGAAGGGGACACGGGAGCAGGGAGGGGACACGGGAGCTGGAAGGGGACACGGGAGCAGGGAGGGGACACGGGAGCTGGAAGGGGACACGGGAGCAGGGAGGGGACACGGGAGCTGGAAGGGGACACGGGAGCAGGGAGGGGACACGGGAGCTGGAAGGGGACACGGGAGCAGGGAGGGGACACGGGAGCTGGAAGGGGACACGGGAGCAGGGAGGGGACACGGGAGCTGGAAGGGGACACGGGAGCAGGGAGGGGACACGGGAGCTGGAAGGGGACACGGGAGCAGGGAGGGGACACGGGAGCTGGAAGGGGACACGGGAGCAGGGAGGGGACACGGGAGCTGGAAGGGGACACGGGAGCAGGGAGGGGACACGGGAGCTGGAAGGGGACACGGGAGCAGGGAGGGGACACGGGAGCTGGAAGGGGACACGGGAGCAGGGAGGGGACACGGGAGCTGGAAGGGGACACGGGAGCTGGAAGGGGACACAGGAGCTGGGAGGTGACACAGGAGCTGGGAGGGGACACAGGAGATCAGCTCTTCAGGAAGTGTTGGGTTCCCGGTGGACTTCAGGAGACTCCCTCTTGCAGGGAGCGGCGTTAGGAGCAGGGGTAAGTATTCTCTTTCTTCTCTTCTCAAACATTTGTTATGTGTCCGGGTCTCTTTATGAGAAACCTCTCCTGGAGGGATATGTAGGCAGCCACTGATGACCTATCATGAAAATGCCAATTTCCTGGTCACCGTGCTGATCCAATGACCTCAATCCTTTCTAAGACTACAGACCAGGAGCGGAGATGGGACCCCCTCAGCGGGGCAGGATTGGGGCACCTTTGGCCTGAGGGGTAAATAGAGCCGAGTCGCCCTTCCACGATAGGTTTGTTCTCGTAATCTTCCTCTGCGGCTCTTGTTTTTGTGTCACATGACACCTCGGGGCCACAGAGGGAGCCGTTGCTGGAAGACCCCCTGGCAGGCGCCGTGATCGTGGGTCTGAATGGGGAGCAGGTAGTAGTAATGGCCACTATGTGCCGGGGTGAAATATCTCCACTGCAGGGCCACCAATCCATCATATCCTATAGGTGACGGCCAAG